ATGTTCGACTAAAGCGCGCTCAACGAAACCGCGTAGCTGACGTCATCACAGGGCGACAACAGTGCGGAGACAGAAGCACGCTGTAAACGCTAAACCTAAAATTAACCCCTAAACCTAAACCTAACCCCCCTAAACCTAATCCTAACCCTAAACCTAACCCTTAACCTAACCCTAAACCTAACCCTTAACCTAACCCTAAACCTAACCCTTAACCTAACCCTAGAGCTAACCCTAAAGCTAACCCTAAACCTAACCCTTACCTTAAGTTGAATCAGCTTGCTTTCAAAGAGCTATTTAAAGCGCCCTTCTTTCTCCGCGCTCGCTGTTATCGCCCTGTTGATGACATCAGCAATGCGGTTTAATCGGGCGCGCTTTAGTCGAGCGCGGTTTTGTCGTGCCACGATCGGCAGGAGGCGGTCTCTCAGGTAGAATGGTTTTCCACTTTTCATCAATCTGCAGCTAAGTTCCATCTAATATCCCTGTTTACAATCCTGTCTGCAGATTCCACTGTGTGTGGCTAGCAATAACAAGATAAATTTTCAGGGTTGAACTGTGGAGTCCTTGGAACTCTCTTAGTTGTCTGTTTACAAATGTTTCACTACCCGATTAGGTAACATCATCAGGGCTACAGAGTATGGACTTGTCAAGGAGAAACCCACCCACCCCAGCTTTACTGGCAGCTACTGTAAACAGGAAGTAAACCTCACACTCTCTAGCACTGGTGATGTTGCCTAATTGGTTAATGAAACTTTTGCAAGCAACAGCACAGCTCAGAGAGCACCAAAGACTTCAGGATCCAGGGAAATGGATTATATGTCCCAAAAATGAATCCCAGAATAGGATTCCACAAAATTCCTTCGATCTCACGCGAGGAGTCACAGGATAGAATGCAGAAGATTCGTACCTAGATTTTCCCCAATAATGCAAATAATGACAAATTATTTTTTCGTGAGAAATTCAGTCACATTGGACTTTCAGTCATCCTGCAGTCTTGCATGTTGTCTTTGCTTCTCTGGAATTTAAATCCTGGAGATAAGAGTCTGCCCTTCGGAGCAGAATAATCCCACCAATTTGGGATTTCCTGGTAGCCTCCGATGCAAATTCTTACCGGGTTTAATAATAATAGCAATAGCACTTATATACCACTTCACAGTGCTTTTACAGCCCTCTCTAAGCAGTTTACAGAGTCAGCCTATTTCCCCTAACCAATTCATTTTACCCACTGGGAAGGATGGAAGGCTGAGTCAACTGTGACCCAGCTTCTCTCCGTGAAAATTAGCAAGCTTCCATTTCAGCCAGCATTACTCTTCTTGCTTTCATTTAAAAGTAAAACGCTCATTAGGAGTTCAGGATTGATAGGATTTGTGATATTTTATTTCAGGTAGTGTTACTTGTTCTAGCCTTGCCATACGTTTCTTATTTTCGAGAGGGTTCTTTATTTAGTAATCGTACATTTTCATACAAAATAAGAAACAGGTGGCTAGAATAATTTGTTTTTCCCAACAGCCAGCTCCATAACTTCATCTCCATTCCAATAATAGAGGCCTACAGCTTCTATATTAAGGAGAGAACATTTTCACCGCCCAATCTTCCCTCTGCCACCCAAATGATGTTAGATCAAATCTTCATTTGCAGCCCTTTAAATCCCAACGGGGGGGGGGGAGAGAGAGAGAAAATGGAGATCCCGGATATGCTGCAATCAAGTATGTTCCAGAGGTATAATTCCCATCCATCCATTGTAAGAGAAACAATGGAGTGTGTCGGGATGTACACACACAAAGGCAGAAATGTCAAGGGGAGGGGGCTAAAAATTAATGAGTTTACACACAAGTTCACATCTATGACATTTCTGATAGAAACTGGAATCCATCCCTATGTGGATGGCATAGATTTCCCAACCATGCTTTAGATTTCCAGAATCTTCCGGTTTGCATAACGCGCTATGAAACTGCTGGCTAATAACAGTATTAATTTCCAGCGTTCATCTGTTGCAGCAAAACCAATAAACAATCTTGTGGCAAAGGCCAGCACATTTATTATGGTGCATGATTTCATGAACTGTAGCCCACTTCATCAGACACATGGGGCATTGTTAATCTGTCAGCAAAATATTCCATGCATCCAATGAAGCAGGCTACGAAACTGGCCAGGGAGGCCCATGAGGCCATGCATTGTTGTTGGTCTTGAAGAGGCTGCAATTGGGGCGTGTTACATTTTCCTGCTTACAAGAGAACCTACAAAGAATTGGAGGCCAGAGTGATGGGTGATTGGAATATCCCTGGGTATAAGTGCACAACGCAGGACATGCCACACAAATGGGTACACAGGATACAAACAGGTGTGCCGCTTTGCCTGAATGTGTGCAAAATCTCCCAAGACATCAGGTTGAAGCAAATCTGCAGCCTCTGGATAAGGAAGATAGAAATAGGCAGCTCGAACACCGCCGCACATTTGGGGATTCCTCAAAAATAAATGAAAATATAAGGGAGGTTTTTTTTTCAAAGCTTATTTTAAAAAGTTGCCTGAACTACGGTAGATGGAGGTGTCATATTCAGATGACATAATCTGACTTCCCTCTTAAGCAGCTTGTGGCAACACCCTGGATGAATGGCTTTAATACCTGCCTGTGGAGGGGGCCCATTTCCCTCCTGTGTAAGTGGTGGGGTGGGGAGGGAGGGAACGGATTAAGCTAGATGGGTTCCTGCACAATCACAGTGCCATCTAGTGTCCACACAGCAGAAGGGCTGCTGCAAGCCACTTTCCCTAAATCACCATCCTCTCAACAGTTTCACTTTTTTGTCCAGAAAATCTCTGGAATAAAAAATGTGATATCCGAGAGTCATGCCTCTTCCCCACAGTAATTTAAAAGCAACAAAAAAGCAATGCTGATGACTCCTAGCTCTCCACTGGAGTCTTTTTTTCCCCTGACCAAACGAATGCTGGGATCAGAGTCTTGTTGCAGAGCCAACTCAAGCTTAACCACAACAGCTAGGTTTACAAAACACATCAAACTCAAACTTAAGTCGAGCAGATTTTTAAGCTAGCATGTTGTGCAGTTTTAGCTCTAATGTGCCCAGAAAGCTGACCAAGTAAACCATGATTTAGTTAACCATTGGGAAACATGTCGTAGGAATACCTATAAGGGAAACAGAGAAATCTTTTTCTGGTTATGAAAGAAAGGAGCAAATAGATTGAAGCAGGCATGAGTTTCCTTGGTCCAAGCCCTTGTTGGATTCACATATGTGAATGCACTGACCCAGTAAAACAGTGGTTCCCAAACTTGGCAACTTTTAAGACTTGTGGACTTCAACTCCCAGAATTCTCCAGCCAGCAGAGAATTCTGGGAGTTGAAGTCCACAANCTCCACGGGGAGGTCGTTCCAAAGGGCTGGAGCTGCGACAGAGAAGGCTCTCCCCTGGGGAGTCGCCAGCCGACATTGGCTGGCAGATGGAATCCAGAGAAGGCCTAGTCTGTGATGTGATTTAGGCCTAGTCTAATGATGTGACTTAGTGTACTAGTTACATCATTATTGTGCTCTAGAAGGTGTCTTGAGGAGAATGTTGGCAGCCATGACTGGATGACTGAATTTAGTGATTTTTTTTAATTTATTTTTTTGCTTTAGTACATATAGTAATTCTTTTTATATATGAATGGACAAAATATATTTTCTCTGTTGATATGATCATTATTTGCAATTTCATTTGAAATGAAACATACGTTATTTTCTTCAGCAAGAAAGTTGGAAGGTGGAGTCTTTGAACTTTCCCATTGATCTTTAAGATAAAATTCATGTAATTAATGTTAAAGAGGTAAAGATGTAGATATCTATGACACCTAAGGAAGTTGACAGTATCTTTCAGAGATGAATCCAGCCACCTGTAAATTATAACTTTCTCCTTGTCTTGATGGTACATGCCTCCAGACAGGGCACAAAGACATGAGCTGGGTCTGTTGCCTGTCTTGAAGGAGGTGATAGTGTATCTCCTCCTCAAAAAGCAATCCTTTGGTCTGAACATCTCAGAAAATAATCAGCAAGTCTCCAGCTTGCCATTTCTTGGCAAGGTTGTTAAGAAGGTGATTAGATTTCAGCTACAGAAAATTTTGAATGGCGAGAGCGTGGTACAGAAATTGGTTGTTCTTGTGAATGATTTGCAGCAGAATTGTTTTACCAGATCGTTTTGACTCTGTAAATTGCTTAGAGAGGGCTGTAAAGCACTGTGGAACAGTGTATAAAGTGCTATTGTTATCTTCTTGAATTTGCATCAGCTGCCCAGTAAGGAGATGGCAACTGGCTAAAGAGCGATTCAGGTTATATATATGCAGATTCATTTTATGTATTGGTTGCATTCTTGGTCCTGCACATGGTCACTCAGATTTTCAAAAAGGAGATTGGGAAGGAGTTGTATTCAGTCGCTTCAGCCTGACCTTTTACAATTCCTTTCATATATCTTAAAGATTGTCCTTCCACTGTATTTTCCATCTATTCTACCTAGACTATTATACAGTCCTTGCTAAAGAGTACCCTCTATTAGGACACATATAGTAGCATAAGAGAACCCAGCATCAAGTATTCTCTATAGCAGGCCGCCTCCCCTGGAATAGTGTGCCTCCTGAAGCTTGAATGGCTCTCACAATCATGACATTATGGAAATTGACAAAAACATGCCACTTTTTGATCTGTCATGATACCACTTGTTAATTTTCCAAATATTTATTTTGTGTTTTGTTCTTAATTTAAGTTTTGGATTTTAATCTTATTTTTAACACTTAATTTTTAAGAAGGTAGCTGTATTCTTTTGGTTTTTTGGCAGCTAAATACATCTTACAAATCAGTAAATATATACCAGTATGTACATAGTGTTTTATTCTTGATTTTAATTTAGCTTATTATATTCTTCATTGAGAAAGTTTTAAATGACAATGTAAAAATAGTATAAAATTGAGAATGCATTTATCCAGAATTCCACTGGTTTATCTACTTTTTTCTAACCTATTTCTAGTGATGAAGAACTTGCTCAGTATCTCCTGCAGCTTGTGCAGGTCCTGAAATATGAAGCTTTTCTTGACTGTGCCCTCTCCAGATTCCTATTAGAGAAAGCCCTGGCAAACAGAAGGATAGGACAAATGTTGTTTTGGCATTTAAGGTAAGATTTGAAATGACTCGTTATACAAAACACCTGCAGCAAATAAGAAGGGGGCCCTCTACTCATTCCAAATATTATATTTGGTTATTCTGTTTTATATCATATGTGTATAATTTATGTTTTCACTATACCAATTAAATTAGAATGCTTAAAAGTAGATGACATTTTAAAAATGCTTTAATTGTGGGATTTTTTCAAACACCCAGAGAGAGAAAATGGTTTATTTTTACCATAGTCAATGGTAAATAACTGAATTCCAAATAGATATACAATATACAATTCTTGAATACAAGCATATTAATAAGAATCAATTAAAATGCATGTAAATGTAAATGCATAAATATAGTCAGTTAGATAAACCATCTACAGTTGAATGATCAACTTGGGAACTTGGGAAGAAATAGCTAAGAGTTGCTTAAAGAAAGATTGCTGTATTTTCTGAAGCAATTTTTTGTAACATTGATCTCATTATAACAGCTGGAGATAAAGGGAATGAAAGTACTTGACCACAAATGATAACAATTCTTGCTGAGTGTCAGCATAAGGCAGGAAGTAAAATATGATGCAGGGTTTCATTGTGATCCCATTTGAGTGGAGACGCTGCAGGACTGTTATCTAGCATGGTGGATAAGTAGAGAAAGGCAAAAATGTTTCTAGGCAAGATTGACAGGTCTATTTATATCTTTGTGTCCTTGGCATATTGCCTAAGGTTGGTGAATGTTCATTCATAGCCCACTGAGAAATTGTGGCCCATGAAAATCGATGTGGATAACCAAGATTAGAGGAGACAGAATGGCTGTAAGAAAAAGTACCTTAAGTCAGTAAAAATATATATGAATCCAAGTAGATATCTCAGTTTTAAGTAACTGGCTGCATGGTACACCATTGCATTAAGAATGGAGTATCATGTTTCCCCGAAAATATGACCTGTCCTGAAACTAAGGCCTTGCAATATTTCTCGTGTGGGGAAAAAATATAAACACCCTCTGAAAATAAGCCCCCTGGACAACCCCCCCTCCGGCCAGGCAGAGCACTGCTCACCGACCTAGCAGTATCCCGAAGGCACCAAGCCGTGGGAGTTGGGGGGAAAGGCACTCACATTGCTTGGCGCCTTCAGGATACCGCTAGGTTGGGGAGTGGTGTTTTGCCTGGCCGGAGGGGGGAGTTGCCAGGTGGTGGCTCCCTTGCGAGTGGGCTCCCGAAGAGCCAGGCACAACCTCAGGGGTGAAGCAGCCATGAGGTGACCACACTCACGAGTAGCCGCCCAGCAAACCCCCTCACCAGCCGGGCAGAACATCATTCACTGACCTAGGGGTTGTCCCTAAGGCACCAAGCCACATGGCACTCTGCCCACCCCCCCAGCTCCCACAGTTGGCACATTCAGGATACTCTCTAGGTCAGTGCATGGAGCTCTTCCTGGCTGGAGAGGGTAGTTCCGCAACCACCTGTTCCACCCCCAGGTCGCATGCCTCCCAGCCTCACCATGCTCTGGCCCAGCTCTTCCTGCAGGGCCAGGGTGCCACCGCGCTCTGAGCATAACTTCTCCGGCTTCCAAACTCCGGAACTTGGCTTCCGATTCTTCCAGCAGTGGTCGCTCTAGGAGTGCACTCTATGGTGTTGGGCTGGCTGCCATAGCAGCCGCTCTAGGACTGTGCTCTATGGTTGTGGGCCGGCTGCCATAGGGCCCACAACCATAGAGCACACTCCTAGAGCAGCCGCTGCTGGAAGATTTGGAAGCTGAGTTCCGGAATTTGGAAGCCGGAGAAGTTATGCTAGGAGCACGGCAACGGCAGCAGTGCCCTGGCTCTGCAGGAAGAACTAGGCCAGGGCATGGTGAAGCTGGGAGGCATGTGAGCTGGAAGTGGAACAGGCTCTCGCGCAACCCCCCTCTCTAGGCAGGCAGAGCTCCATTCACTGACCTAGGGGGTATCCCGAATGTGCCAAGCTGTGGGAGCTGGGGGGCAGGCAGAGCGCCACATGGCTTTGCGCCTTAGGGATACTCCCTAGGTCAGTGAATGGAGCTCTGCCTGCCTAGAGAGGGGGGTTGCGCGAGAGCCTGTTCCACTTCCAGCTCACATGCCTCCCAGCTTCACCATGCCCTGGCCTAGTTCTTCCTGCAGAGCCAGGGCA